AAACATGTGTAGTTTCGCCTCTGCGAAACGCCTATTTTTCAAGTTCAAGCAGTACATGTTGGCAAGTTCAATTAGCTAGTCAAACAAACAGTCAGCAAGTCAGCTAATTAGTCAGTTAAAAAGTTGTAATGAATTAGCTCTAGAGCCAGTTCGCTAGTTAATTGGCTAATCAGTTAGTTATCCATTTAGCTGCTAGTTAGTTAGATAATACTAAAGGTATTCCCCTAATATTCCTCTTCCTTTACTAGTGAAATATTTGGGGAACACTAGGGGGGTAGCGAAGAAACACTAGGGGTATACCAAGAGAATACTGAAGGAATACTAGGGCAATACTAGGGATACTAGGGCATTACTAGGTACATATCTAGGGCAATATGAAAGGTGAACACTAGGATAATACTGAGGAATTCTGAGGAAATACTAGGGGTATACTCTCAAGCTCAATTTGTGTGACTTCTCTCAGGCTTCCTGACTAGGGCAATACTAGGGCACTACTAGGGAAGTACTAGGGGAATACTAAAGGTAAATACTGGAAGAATTCTCGGAGAATACTGAGAGAATACTAGGGGTATGAAGCAATACCAGGGCCATACTAAAGGTATTCCCCTAGTAATTCCATCCCTTTACTAGGGGAAATAGCAAGCGAATACTATTGGGGTAGTGAGGAAATACTAGGGGTATACCAAGAGACTAAATTAACTGAATACTAGGGCAATAATAGGGGAATACTAGGGCAATCATAGGGCACCCTAAGGAAATACTCAGGGAATACTAGGGCAATATTACAGGTGAACACTAGAAGAATACCAGGGGACTTCTGAGGGAATGCTAGGGGTATACCAAGATAATATTGAAGGAATACCAGTGCAATACTAAAGGTGTTCCCTTGTAGTTCCATCCCTTTACTAGGCGAAATAGCAAGCGAATACTATTGGGGTAGTGAGAAAATACTAGGGGTATACCAAGAGACTAAATTAACTGAATACTAGGGCAATAATAGGGGAATGCTAGGGCAATCATAGGGCAATACTAAGGAAATACTCAGGGAATACTAGGGCAATATTGCAGGTGAACACTAGGAGAATACCAGGGGACTTCTGAGGGAATACTAGGGGTATACCAAGATAATATTGAAGGAATACCAGTGCAATACTAAAGGTGTTCCCCTTGTAGTTCCATCCCTTTACTAGGGGAAATAGCAAGCGAATACTATTGGGGTAGTGAGGAAATACTAGGGGTATACCAAGAGACTAAATTAACTGAATACTAGGGCAATAATAGGGGAATGCTAGGGCAATCATAGGGCAATACTAAGGAAATACTCAGGGAATACTAGGGCAATATTGCAGGTGAACACTAGGAGAATACCAGGGGACTTCGGAGGGAATGCTAGGGGTATACCAAGATAATATTGAAGGAATACCAGTGCAATACTAAAGGTGTTCCCCTTGTAGTTCCATCCCTTTACTAGGGGAAATAGCAAGCGAATACTATTGGGGTAGTGAGGAAATACTAGGGGTATACCAAGAGACTAAATTAACTGAATACTAGGGCAATACTAGGGGAATACTAGGGCAATCATAGGGCAATACTAAGGAAATACTCAGGGAATACTAGGGCAATATTACAGGTGAACACTAGAAGAATACCAGGGGACTTCTGAGGGAATACTAGGGGTATACCAAGATAATATTGAAGGAATACCAGTGCAATACTAAAGGTGTTCCCCTTGTAGTTCCATCCCTTTACTAGGCGAAATAGCAAGGGAATACTATTGGGGTAGTGAGGAAATACTAGGGGAATACCAAGAGACTTTACTAAATTAACTGAATACTAGGGCAATAATAGGGGAATGCTAGGGCAATCATAGGGCAATACTAAGGAAATACTCAGGGAATACTAGGGCAATATTGCAGGTGAACACTAGGAGAATACCAGGGGACTTCTGAGGGAATACTAGGGGTATACCAAGATAATATTGAAGGAATACCAGTGCAATACTAAAGGTGTTCCCCTTGTAGTTCCATCCCTTTACTAGGGGAAATAGCAAGCGAATACTATTGGGGTAGTGAGGAAATACTAGGGGTATACCAAGAGACTAAATTAACTGAATACTAGGGCAATACTAGGGGAATACTAGGGCAATCATAGGGCAATACTAAGGAAATACTCAGGGAATACTAGGGCAATATTACAGGTGAACACTAGAAGAATACCAGGGGACTTCTGAGGGAATACTAGGGGTATACCAAGATAATATTGAAGGAATACCAGTGCAATACTAAAGGTGTTCCCCTTGTAGTTCCATCCCTTTACTAGGCGAAATAGCAAGGGAATACTATTGGGGTAGTGAGGAAAAACTAGGGGTATACCAAGAGACTAAATTAACTGAATACTAGGGCAATAATAGGGGAATACTAGGGCAATCATAGGGCAATACTAAGGAAATACTCAGGGAATACTAGGGCAATATTGCAGGTGAACACTAGGAGAATACCAGGGGACTTCTGAGGGAATACTAGGGGTATACCAAGACAATATTTAAGGAATACCAGTGCAATACTAAAGGTATTCCCCTAGTAGTTCCATCCCTTTACTAGGCGAAATAGCAAGCGAATACTATTGGGGTAGTGAGGAAATACTAGGGGTATACCAAGAGACTACTAAATTAACTGAATACTAGGGCAATAATAGGGGAATGCTAGGGCAATCATGGGGCAATACTAAGGAAGTACTCACGGAATACTAGGGCAATATAAAAGGTGAACACTAGAAGAATACCAGGGGACTTCTGAGGGAATGCTAGGGGTATGCCAAGATAATATTCAAGGAATACTAGGGCAATACTGAAGGTATTCCCCTAATATGCGCCTTCCCGTACTAGGAAATACTCGGGGCATAGCAAGAGAATACTGAAGGAATACTAGGGCAATACTAGGGAAATACTCAAGGAAGACTAGGGGAGTACTAAAGGAGCATACTAGGAGAATGCTAGGGGAATGCTGAGGGAATACGAGGGGGTAGACTCTCAAGATGAATTTGTCTGACATCTCAGGTTTCCTGGCTAGGGCACGGAATACTACTAGGGGAGTAATAAAAGTAAATACTGAGGAAAACTGAAAAAAAACAACAACCGAAAAACGCTGAAAACAAAAACTGAAAAAACTGAAAAACAAACTGAAAATAAGTGAAAAACTGCAAAACAAGGGAACAACTGAAAAAACAACTGAATAAACAAAACAAACAAGCTGAAAACTCAAGGATTCAGGGGGACATGCCTGGGAGGGCCCCCCCATGTCCCTGGCCCCTGAATCCTTGTTTTTTCAGTTGTTTTTTAGTTTTTTTTCAGACTTTTTCCCGCGTTTTTCATTTTGTTTACAGTTGTTTTCAGTGCTGTTGTTTTCCCTTTTTTTTGTTCTTTCTTCTTCTTTTTTTTTTTAATATGTTCAGTTTCCAAAGCGATTCCTTGAAGAGATGCCCTTACGCAATCATAGTGCTTGGTTGCAGCATTGGCTGCCAAATGAGAGGCTTTTGACAGATGCAGACAATGGGCCGGAAAAGTGTGTGTTCTGGCAAATGCAGGTTTTGGTGACAAAGCACTGAAAATACCAGTGTTCTCTCAGAAAACCTCTTGTTTTTTGGGGGGTACCATATATATATATATACTTATACATACCTCTCCCTTGAAAGGTGGGTTCCAATCATGGCCCCTTTGGGTCAATACACACAGACCCTCGAACAGCGATGAGGAAAGCACGAGCCCAACAAGATAATTTGTGTTGATGACCAGCGATTAACATGGAACCTGACGTTCGGGTCGGTCCTGGAAGGTTATGTTCCTTTTGAAGGTTCCATGTTTCCTGGTGGAAGGGTACCACTTTGAAAACCATTGGTGTTTCCAACAAGGACCAAAAAGGGATGATCTTGCTATGGGCAAACCGATGCCTGGGCATGCCTGCAACCAAATGCCGGAAACCAAAACATAACACCTTGGGCCACAGGCCACAGCAAGCCTGTGGCACCCCCAGAAATTGTTTTTAAGTCGTTCTAGCGTTCACATTTGGCTTATAGGGGATGCCCATCTAATACAGGCGGCTGTCCTTTCCCTACGCCGACTGGAGGATGGTGACAAACCAAATGCCTCCAAGCAAGTGTCAAAGTGAGAGGGGCCAACGAGAGCTCCGGCGATGCGAGGAGGCAATTTTTCGATGCCAGACCTTGAAGCCCTAGCTTAATTTTATCAGCAAAACACGAACAGTTGGACAGCGAACAGTGGATGATGAAAGTTTGGATCAATCACCAAGAAAGCGGTCTTCCAAATTGTGGTGACTGTTAGTGTGTGGGGCCGGTTCCACTCAGTTGTTCAGTGGCACCCTGTTTCCCTTTTTTTTGGCAGACTCAAGCAGCAGGGCCTCTGGAGCTGTCAAAATGAACATCCAATGAAAAAATCGTCAACAAAAAAATAGTGGCTCAAATCAAACTTGACATGTGGTTCCCTGTGCTTCAGTGCAATGCTCGTCTCATGCCTGAACCCTTCCGGGTACGAGTTCATCAATCGTAGACCTGACAAGTCCTTTGGACTACCCTGACCAGATCCTTCCTTTCCAAATTGAAATCCTGGCCGGAACTTGTAGGTGCCGCCAAGCCTTTCTTGGAGTTTGGGTCTTAATGTCTCTCATGAGGTTCTTTCCTGTAAAATGAAGGTTTTGGGGAACGATGGGCTTCCATTGAGGTAGAGTCGCAAGGCTTGGCTTCCAATTTTACAGGCAATGGATGAGACTCCGAGAGGTTCCTGAGCGGACATAGACCCTATTACACATTGAGGATACTCATGATGTGACCATGGGCCTAGGCATGCTGGCAATGATACACGTACACCCTAGGGTCCAACCCAAATTAAATGAATGGCAAGGACCCAATTTGGATGATGACAACCCTTAGGCATATAATGGTGATTATATGAACCCCCCCCTTGTTTTGATGGTGGTTTGAACCGGGTACATGCGGGAACAAATCGTTAAACGTCAGGCCCAGTATGGGTCCGTTAAGGCTCAAGGCTCCTTCCTTTTCGAACACGACGTGTTCAGCAAAGTACACCTGATGAGCAAGTCAGAACTACCTAAATTGTCCAGTAATAGTTGTATATTTTCTGTTTAGGGGCTGTGGGGTACTTTGCAGCTTCAAGATAGATAAGAGGAGCAGGCCCTTTCAAATTTAGCGCCTTATACGTTGGGATCCGAAAGCACGGCAAAGAACTCGAGCGCGATGCTGGGGCTGTTGCAAGTGTGTAGGCACTCACGGGGCTGTCCTGATGACTCTGCGTTCGGCCCTTCAGTCACGGCCCAACGGGTGGCTTGTCTTTTGTGAGCCTCCCCCATTTTACTAGGGGTTGATTCCCCATTCTTTGCAACCATCCTTCTTTTCAAAAACCAGCTGTGTCCCCAGGCTTTTGGGTGGTTTTGTAGAAAGAAGGATGCCTGGAAAGAATGGGGGAGGTACCCCTGAATTTGTTGGTGGTAAAGGGAGACCAAAACAGGGAACCCGTTGCGCCAGGTTTTTTTTGTTTTTTTTTGCGGGGCTTTCTTCACCAGCAATTGGGGTGCAATTTCTTTAAAAGACACACCCGAAAAGAGAACTCATGTTCAATTCTGGTCCACCCAACACCGTTCCGAAACCCTGGTTTCTGATTCGATTCCCCGACGTAAATACCAGCAAACAATGGTTTCAACCATGGTTTCACAGTGGTGCGAGCTTTCGTCCATCCACAGTATTTTTAGTGACCATCATTAAAGGGTTCCAGGATGTGAACTGAACTGCCTGTCTTGCCCCCAAGTTTTCTGGAGCACTCTTGTACTCACTTCCCGAGTGGATGGTCCAAACTTTTTGTCTACCACGAACATTCGGTCCAGACCCAACATGTGCCTAAAGTCGACATGAACTCAGGGAGTCAGCGCATATCGACAGCTTTCGCCCAGTTGGCATATGGGGAGTTGGCTCAGGACATGACACAGGATCTCCCAAACCCAAATGGGGCGGTCAAAACTTGGTTGGGGTTGGCCCCGTAACAAGTTGTTGGCTTTTGCAGGTTTAATGGAAAACCCACTGTTCCGAAGATCCAACCAAATAGCCATACCTGGAAATTCCAACGTGTACTTATTTCTTGTAGTTTGTGAACTTGACCTAAAATTACATATTTTTCCAGAAAACGCCTAAATTGATGAGTTTCTGCACTTTCGGGGCATCAGAGCACTTGGGGTTTGAAGACAGTCGGGACGCATCCCTTTTTCAGGCGGGAGTTGCGTGATGCATCAGGGCATCAAGGGATCAAGGCATCAAGCCATCATATTGCGGCGGATGCCCATATAGTAGTCGTAGATCTGAAGCATGACATTTCCCAGCACCAAAATGCGCAAAATATACGCAAATTCGTGAGGACCCTTGCTACAACTGCTTGAGCCCGGTATCGATGCATTTTGCCGCGCCGACTTTTGCCCGCACAACGCCGGCAAAAACCCGCACAACGCCCGCAAAACCCCGCAAACGCCCGCAAATCCCAAAATCTCCTTTTTGGGGTATATTCATTTTTTGCAAATCAGCCTATGGTGCGGCCAATTCAACCAAATTAGTGGGTGGCTACTTCAACAAATCAGCCTTGGGCGACGCCGAGGCCTCGCCCAGAAACGGGTGGGTTGCAGATTGATAAGGATATTCAACAGCGCGCATCAGCAGGTGTCAGTACAAAGGCGCTTGCGGGGAAGGGCGCGAGGGGCAAAAGGAACATGGCACGACTAGATTTCCTGAAGCTCGCCTACATTTTCCAAAAACGACGAGGAATCCGTCAGAACGCCTAAACTTCGAAAACGACAAGGAATAAGTACGCAAAGGAATGTCCAGGTAAAGAAAATAGGACGACCACACTGGGTGGTATCCGTGTCCCCGAAGAAGAAAAAAAAAGATACCGAGCCTCCAACAGGCACAAACACACACAGAGAACAAGGCCCAAGCAAAGGCAAACCAATCGGGGCAGTCGTGTCCTCGTCCTCGGTCGGCGAGTCAAAAGCACTGCCGCCGGTCGTGGAACCTTAGGCAGGCGGGTGGTCGTCCAAGGCAAACCTTCGCCTAGAAAGCGCTAAGAACGCTTTAGCGCCCCGCTAAATGGCGGTTTGGAGCCCAGCGATTTGGAAGTTTGGGGTGGTTTTCCTCTAGCAAGGCTTTCAAATCCCCATACCAAGCCAAGCTGGTTAGCACAGGGAAATCAATAAAAGAAGAAGCGCCAGTTCATTCGTCATCCATCAAGCGGGTGACATGTCCTCCTCGCCCCTGACATGACAAACACATGTCAACTGCCGCCCGGCGCGAATTTCAGTGGAGCGCCGTCATTCAAGCAAAGTCAACAGCTTTAGGCAAATGCCACGTGTCCTTGCCGTTTGATGTATACGGATGTTTGGCGAGGAAGCCAATGCAGTAGCAAGCTAGCTGCAATTCGCACACTGTAGGGAT